CTACACAGAGGCCTGCTCCATTTCCCCATTTTCCTGGTGGAGATTTGCATGATGAGATTTTCTGTTGCACCTTGTCTTCCTTCGAACCCAAATTCCTGCTCAATCTTTCTTGAGCCCAACGTCAATGCATGCTGCACTGGGCAGTGGGGAGCTGGTACCCACATGCAAGTGAAGAATGCACCCAAAGATGTGTCCCTCTGCAGGTCACAGTCACGTGAGGCCCCCGCATCATCCCAGGGAGGACAGTGTATCAGGACGCCTCCAACACACAACCCAGCCACATACACGCACATAGACATCATCTTTTGATTTCTTGACTGCTGTTTCCATGGGAGCTGATTGTGGACCCAAGAAAAATGAAGTCATTGACAACTTCAATCTTTTCTCTACCATGATGTTACCTATCAGTCCAGTGGTGAGGATTTTCTGTTTCCTTGATGTTGAGATCTAATCTATACTGAAGGCTGTAGTCTTTGATCTTCTGCAGCAAGTGTTTTGAGTTCTCTTCTCTTTAAGTAAGCAAGGACGTACCATCTGCAGAAAGCAGGTTGTTGGTAAGCCTTTCTTCAACCCTGATGCCACACTGTTCTTTATAGAGTCCAGCTTCCTGAATGATTTGCTCAGCACGCAGATTAAACAGGTATGGCGAGAGGGTACAGCCCTGAACACTCTGTTTCCTGAAAATCAGGGACTAGCACCAGGAACACATATAAAGAAGCTCTTCTGATGCAATTGTTAAGAGCTCAGCTAAAAACCCAAAGATTAACAGTTCAAACCTACCGATAGTTCCACAGGAGAAATGACTAATACTCTGTTTCCATTTAAAGTCTGGATGGAAATATGCACTGTTTACAACAATCAACCACATGAAATCAAAAGGGCAGCCAGCATCTACCCAGGGATAAAGGTGCCAAGATAGCAAAGAAAGAAAAGAAAGACAAATGGAAACAGTAAATACAAATAATAAGTGGGTAGAGAAGAGTGCTGTTACACTGTGAGAACCGCAATCAATGTTACAAAGAAAAAGGAAGAATAGAAAACCAACTTACCCTGTCACTGATATCACAAGAAAAAAAGGAAAAAAGGGATTGCAGCCTGGGAGACCCTCCGGGTGAGTGATGCTCATGTCTGTTACCGGGTTACTCTGAATTGGAACTTGGAACTGACCCGGCACACAACAATGGTTTCTGAAAAGGCATCAAAGTAGTTCAACAAATTTTTGTCAAGAGACAGCATCTGGGGTACCTCCACTCCAGCAGCAGCTAAGGCCCATCTGATGGATTCCATGCGGCCTCTTCCATTGGGATAGTGGAGCTTGGGCCTTGATTCCATGTCGTCTTTGTTTTCCGAAAAACAAATGCAGCACTTCCGGTCACACAGTCCCTACCTGCGCTTAATCTAGTGCTCAGAAGCTAAACAAATATTCACCAATCTGGCACCGGAACTTGGGGGTTTTTGTTGCTGCGTTCTCCCTCACTTAATAAAAACCAAATTGTTGTTAGGTGCCATCGAGACATAGACAACTCATTGCGACCCTATGAACGAAAGGCCTGAGCACTGTTCACAGAGTTGCCGGAGGCAAACCATCTCGGAAGTGGATGCCACTCCTGCTTCCAACCTTGATTTAATCGGGAAGCTCCACCAATCACTGTCCACCATGAGTACCCATTATTGCATTTGGCACATCAGTGTCACGGTGTTCAGCATCACGGCACAAGTTACCTCTATACAGCAATACACAGAACAGTGTTATACCACCTAGAAGAATGTTTGACAAAAAACCAATTTGACAAAAACCAAGTCCCACCCCCCAAAAGAAGCAGCTTCGGCCTTCCTAGTGATTCTATTTAGGAGTTCATCTTGAGGAAGCTGTGGCCTTTTGTTGCAAGGACATCTGTGATAGCAATAAGTGCTTAACAGTTTCAGAACATGACCTACTTGAGGAAACGTTGCTAGATTTTAAAAATGTAGCCTGGAAAGATCAGGCAGAGAAATTTTACACCCACCATAAACTGGACAAATACTAGGACTTCCACACCAAGAACTTATTTATCATGGCAACTGCAAGGTAGAAAGTCAAATACGAAACAATTGTCTGCAAAACGCAGGCGATACCAAGCCTGCGGCTCTTCCCTCACCCTGGTGGGAAAAGAGCCCCCAGCCTGGAGAGGTGCAT